CGTCGCCTCATATCACACCCCAGAATGCTTTGGGAGCCGGGAATTCTCCTCAGGTTGGACCTCGGTCTCCCATCACTGGTGCCACTTCTGCTGAGAACGTTGGGCCTCAGCGCCCTCCCGAGCCAAAACGTGCCCCCCACAGGCCCTGCGGATACCTCATGGGTTTGGCCCACAATGCCTGGGAAGGGTGGGGGAGGTGGGTTAGAGACGATTGTCTTTCAGGGTGGAGCCGAAGGGTTTTTTGAGGCCCCGGAGATTGGGCGCACCTGCCGGGCCCAAAGCCCCTGGTGACATCATTGGCCCGGTTTGGCTACTGAGGCGTGCGGGGACGGGCGACAGGTGGGGCGATGGGAGACAGTGGCAAGAGCGTGGATCACCCTGCATTTGGAACCCAACCAGCCCTACTTAAATGAGTCTCGCTCTGCCCCCCCGAACAGCTCGGGAGCTGGTCGCAAGGAATCCGTTCCCCCTATTGCCGTCGCCTTGAGGGCCGGGGGCTACAAGGAGGGTCATTAACAGGGAGTCAGACAAACTGGGAAGGGGCCGAAACCAGGGATGCCAGCCTCCAGGTGGGACCTGGAGATCCCCTGGAATGATAGATCCGACTCCAGACGACAGAGATCAGTTCTGAAGAAAATGGATGCTTTGGAGGGTGGACTCTATGGCTGAGGCTCACCCCAAAATCTTCAGGAGTTTTCCAGCCTGGATCTGGGAACCCTACACCCTCACCCTAGCCAGAACATATAGGAGGGGGGGTCAGATTCTGGATTTTAGGGGGACCCCCCTTTTTAACCCTTTCCTCAGGTCATGCTCCGTTTGCAAGTACTTGGATAACTCCTCTTCTCTGGGGCAATTCCAGCCTAGGCCGGGCCATGAAGGATTAAAAAGGGCAGGGCTTCCCCCCCTTCTTCCCCACTGATGTCTCTTGCCCCCCCCCAAGTGCCCAAGGCTCCAAAAGACACCTCTCACACGTACACCCCCATGGCAACTTGGTGTTGTGCCAGTTGAGAGCCAGTTTGGTGTAGTGGTTAGGAGCGGCGGACTCTAATCTGGGAGAACTGGGTTCGATTCCCTACTCCTCCACATGCAGCCAGCTGGGTGACCTTGGGTCAGTCACAGTTCTCTCAGAGCTCTCTCAGCTCCACCTACCTCACAGGGTGTCTGTTGAGGGGAGAGGAAGGGAAGGCAGTTGTAAGCTGTTTTGACTCTCCTTTGGGTAGTGAACAGCGGAGTATAAAACCAACTCTTCTCTCCTTCTTCTTCTTCAGTTTAATCTCAAGCGGGAAGAGGCACGGACCACGGGGGTTCTATACCCTCCCTCCAGCAGGTACTCTTGGTAATGGGGATTTTATTGGGGGTGCATGAAGGTGTGGGGGAGGGAGAGATGTCAGAGCTGGAGAACAGCTAGATTTGAATCCAGTACCAGTATCTTTGAGACCAGCAAAATCTTTGGGGTTTAAGCTTCGTCAGATACAAGGCAGAATGGAGATCCCCAGGTCCTTATATCGCAAGGCTGAAGGAGGGAGAGGTGTTGTAGAGAAATGAGCCAGGAGGCAAAGGTACAGTGTACAATGTAATCGGTTTGACCAGGGCAGGGGAGAAATGCGTCCCGTCATTTTATTTATTTACTTATTTGATTTGATTTATACCCTGCCCTCCCTGTGGAAGCAGGCTCAGGGCGGCTTACAAGAATAACATAAATACCTATAACAAAGATAAAACCATTTAAAAACAGTTTAAATCATAAGGTGCTAGCGATTGTAACGAATACATTAAGGATGGCGGCAGTGGTTACTTTATTCTTTGGTTCTCGATCTTTGCCGAACGTATACGACTGGCACAGGCTGTAATGGTGGAGTCGGGCATATCTTTAATAGTGATGTAGGTAATGATGATGGCGATGGTGGTGGTGGCGGCTCCCTAGTCGAAGGCCTGGTGGAAGAGCTCCGTCTTGCAGGCCATGTGGAACTGTAACAGGTCCCGCAGGGCCCTGATCTCCTCTGGGAGCTCATTCCACCAGTACGGAGCCGCCACCGAGAACGCCCTGGCCCTGGTTGTTGCCACTCTGACGTCTTTAGGGCCTGGGAGAGTCAATCGATGTTGTGACCCTGAACGTAGTACTTGCTGGGGTACATATGGGGGAAGGTGGTCCTTCAGGTATGTCGGTCCCTGACCATATAGGGCTTTAAAGGTAAGAACTAGCACCTTGAAGCGAACTCGGAAGGCTATCGGCAGCCAGTGCAATGCCTTGAGCACAGGCTGGATGTGCTCCTGCATAGGCACAGAAGTGCAGCAAATCTCTACCCCTGGAGATTTACTAAATCAGCCCTGGATGCAATGAGGTACAGCAGACTTGTTACCAGGGGAAAGGGGTGCAAGCTTTCAAGTTATGCGGAAGCCTTCACCTGGACGGGAAAGGAGTCCGCTGTAGAGACACTTCTAAGTGACGGAGGGCTAAGCTGTTTCGCAAGGTGGTGTGGGAGCACGAAAGTGCATTATCTCCTTGGTGTCGATCCATGTTTTTAATGGGCTTTAAGTGGAAAACAAATGTTTTAGCGATTAGTCTGTGATGTGGCTAATGGCCTTTGCATTTCCGACCATCTTGGCTTCTTGCAAGAGCTGCGGGCGTCTCTTCAGTTTCCTTCTACCATATCTCACTCGTGTACTGAGTTCCAGCGGGAAGGGGAGAGGGGGAGATCGACTGGATCCTGCAGCAGAACCTGCCAGAGGTTGACAGGATCAAGGATCTGGCCACCGCGAAGCGCCTTTGGTGACCTCCGTGAGTGAGCTGTATGGACAGGGTTGCCAACCTCCAGCTGGAGCCTGGAGACCTTCCAGAATCACAACTGATATCCAGACGACAGAGATCAGTTCCCCTGGAGAAAAACTGTTATTTTGGAGGGTGGACGATTTGGCATTGTACCCCCCCACCAGTTTGAGAGCCAGTTTGGTGTAGTGGTTAAGTGCGTGGACTCTAATCTGGGAGAACCGGGTTTGATTCCCCACTCCTCCACTTGCACCTGGCTGGATGACCTTGGGCAAGCCATAACTCTGGCACAGCTGTTCTTGAAAAAGAGCAGTTTCTGTCAAGAGTTCTCCCAGCCCCACCTACCTCACAGGGTGTCTGTTGTGGGGAGGGGAAGGGAAAGGAGTTTGTAAGCCGCTCTGAGACACCTTTGGGCGGTGAAGGGCGGGGTATAAATCCAATCTCCTCCTCCTCCTCCTCCTCCTTCTCCTCCTCTTCTTCTTCTTCTTCTTCTTCTTCTTCTTCTTCTTTTTCTTCTTCTTCTTCTTCTTCACCGTGGTCCATCCTTTCCTCAAACCTTCCCCAGGCTTAACCCCCCAAATTTCCAGGAACTTCCCTGCCTGGAGTTGGCAACTCTACCAGGCCGGAATGTCTCTGTGTACATTTCCTGGCTTGCCCTGGAAGTCAGATGACTTGCGTGTGAATCACCTCCTTCTGGGTTTTATTTTTAAAAAAGCTATCCATAGCTCCCCCACCAGCCTGCCTCTAATCCTTCGGAGTCTATTTTAATGGTGCCGACCTATTTTAATCAGTTTAATCAACGGATTTGGCAGAAACCAGCCTAATCTATACATCTGCGTGCTTTCATCTCCTCTAATCTCCTTGCATATTGGATTTAATGCCTCTGATCCCTTTTAGCTGTCCACCGGCCCACCTAATCTCATTTGCACATATGCATATTTTTAATCTGTCTTTTGTTCCTGAAGACAGATGCGGCGTTTGCATTCGCTGCAGATTCAGAGGATGGCACCCAACATAAAAGAAGACAGCAGGTCTGATTCACTTTCAGGAAAGGCGGGGTGGGAAACCGCTCAGATCTCCGTCTCTCCTGAGACTCCCAACGGAGGCTTTTTCCCAGGCAAATCGATTTAAACGTGAGCGTCAATCTTTACTCTGCTCAGTTAAACTAACAGATTAAATGAGTCCAACAACCCCTTTGGGTTGATTAAAAGGACGGGAATGCTTTAAAACTGTGAGTTTTAAAAAGTTTTAAACAACATTGAGAGCCAGTGTGAGGTCGTGGATGGAGTGGCAGGCGAGGACCCCGGGTGACCTGGGTTTGTGATGCACAAACCTGTGCCCTGTGTGACCCCTTGGCCGAATTGGAATCACACAGTCGGAGTCCAACGAGTTAGATGAATCTGTTTATTGCAATGAAAACAGGGAATACAGGGGCTGAGCACCTTAGCACTTCAGCGATTCCAAGCCGTATTCTGCCATGACCAGGAAGGGCAGAAGGTCTTATACCCCAACTGACATCGCATATAGTTTACACATTAAAGGATCTCTAATTGGAGCCCAGCAGGTAACATCATAGAAGCATCACTTGACTCCGTGCGTCTCTTATTGGTGTCAGTAATTACGCTTCCTTGTCTGGTCTCCAGAACAATGCAAAACACTGACGAACAACGGGACCCTTTCTGGCCTTGCTGAAGTCAACCTCCTGCCCCCCTTTTGGAGAGCTGGCTGATAAGGGCTGTGATTCACATTAAACTTAGCTCTTGGCAGGTTTCCTGGTACCAGCTGTTTTGAGAACACTTCCAGAGCTAACCGTCCTTCTTCCATCCGGGCTAAATACCAAAATCTGAATTTACTATGGTTAAACTCTTGTGAGGGCGCAGTGACAGCTGTCAGCATATAAACATGTCAGAGGAAATGTCAGAACTCACATTCAGAACTCACAGTCATTTCCCCCTTGTCCCACATTTGGATGGCTCACTGGGTGACCTTGGCCTCATCACAAGCCGTTCCTACCTCATAAGGTTGTTGTGATAGAAAGGAGGAAGGGAGAACATAAGAACATAAGAGAAGCCATACTGGCCTAGGGATACCATTCTGCAGATGGGGGCAGGGGTTCCCCTGCTTTCATGGGCTCCAGCCCGCCACCGGCCAGCTGGAGGAAATTCCCCCCATCCCCGACTCTGTGTGCGATGCACTGATGTGACCCGGAAGTGATGTCAGCATGTCAGTGCCATTGGGGGTGACACTCTGCTTTTTGGGCAAAACTCTATGGTTTGAGTCCATTTTTACCATAGAGTTTGGCCCCAAAAGAAGAGCATCACCCCCAGCATTGCCGATGTGCTGATGTCACTTCCTGACCCGCCCTGGCAACCCTATATCCCCCAGGGGAGCCAAAACCCCAGAAGCCCTCCCACTGTGGCCCCACCAAGCACCAAGAAGACAGAACATCCCTGCCCCAGACATAGTGTTCCATCTATACCTTGTGGTTCATATCCACTGATGGACCTCTGCTCCACATGTTTATCCAGTCCCCTCTTGAAGTTGTCTATGCTTGTAGCTGCCACCACTTCCTGTGGCAGTGAATTCCATGGGTTGCTTACCCTTTGGGTGAAGAAGTCCTTCCTTTTATCTGTTCTAAACCGATTGGTCATCAATTTCATTGAGTGCCCACGAATTCTTGTATTGTGCGAAAGGGAGAAAAGTACTTCTTTCTCTACCTGCTCTATCCCACGCATACTTTTGTAAACCTCTATTATGTCACCCCTCAGTTGTCGTTTCTCCAAGCCAGAGCCCTAACCTCCTTCACCTTTCTTCATAGGAAAGGTGTTCCATCCCATTAATAATTTTAGTTGCCCTTTTTTTTGCTCTTTTTCCAGTGCTATAATATCTTTTTTGAGGTGCAGTGACCAGAAATGTATGCAGTATTTCAAATGAGGCCGTACCATAGATTTATACAGGGGCATTATGATACTGGCCGATTTGTTTTCAGTTCCCTTATTAATAATCCCCAGAATAGCATTTGCCTTTTTTTTTCTGCAGTCGCACACTGAACACTGTTCTAAAGCTGCTCTGAGTCCCAGCTGGGGAGAAATGCAGGATATAAATAAATGTGTTGTGATTTTCGTAGGCAGATTTCACGGTTGGGAGGGGGATGCTTAAAATTGCAAGTTTTCAAAGTTTTAAAACATGAACATCATAATTTTTGTGGACAGATTTTTGGATGTAAGGAAGCCCAAATAATCGGCATATTTCATTCAATATTTTGACACCCCCTGCCCTCAAAAATGTGTTAATTGTAACAAGGTAATCAAGTGTGTTCTGGCCTGTGAAAACCTGCCACAGTACGTGTGTTAGTGTTTAGGGTGTTACAATGATCTTCCTCTTTTTAAAAAATGTAATAATACCTGTAATTAGCCATAGTGGAACAACAGAATGTAATTTTTCATGTAATGTAATAATGTAAAAAAATGTAATAATGCCCATAATTAACCATAGTGGAGCAATAGAATGTAATTTTGCATATTTTCATGCAAATTCAAAACTGAACATTTCCCCCTGCTAACTCACCAGCTGTGAAACGGGGAGATTCTCAGAACGTTGCTTTCTTGGAAAGGCACCAATTTCTGTACAAAATCGACAAGACGGTATCGGCTTTCCGCAAAAGGTTAACGCCAATAAAGCAGTACAGAGCAGTAACCACAAGGTGGCAGCGGTGGATCAGTAAGGAGTGTGGCCACTAGCCAAGTTACTGTCAAAAAAGTGGGGCAAAATGCTAATTTTGGACCAAACGGAACTTTCGCCATTGTTCCCTTACATTTGGTGCTTCGGGGCGGAAATGCTGAGTCACATGGAGAGAGAGAATCAGCTAATAATAGTATAGCAGGGCTCTTGTCCCAAAGGGAGGGTTGCAAACTGTATCCAAACGTAAACTTTGCCACGGGATCAGATTGGGAGTTTCTCCCGTCGGACCAGCATCCTGTTTCTGATGGGGGACAGCCAGTGTTCCACACAGCGGCACCAGAGCCTCTTTGTGCATCTGCGGGTTGTGGTATTCAGGAGCCACAAGCCCACGAGAAATCAGCGGGGTGGGGATAAAGGATTGGGCAAACTTCCCCTGGAGACCAAGCCGTACAAGGAAAGGCTGAGGGACTTGGGAATGTTTAGTCTGGAGAAGAGGAGGTTGAGGAGGGACATGATCGCTCTTCGTATCTGAAGGGCTGTCACTTGGAGGAGGGCAGGGAGCTGTTCCTGTTGGAAGCAGAAGAGAGGACGCGCAATAATGGGTTTACATTAAGGGCAGGAAAGTTGTTGTTGATCAGTCGCACAGTCGAGTCCGACTCTTCGCGACCCCATGGACAAGATCTCGCCAGGCCCTCCTGTCTTCCGCCGTCCTCTGAAGTTTGCTCCATTTCATGTTCGTTGCATCTATGACACTGTCTATGACAGGAAAGTACTGGCTGGATATTAGGAAACAGCTCTTTTACAATCAGAGTTGTGCAACAGTGGAGTCAGCTACCTCTGGAGGTGGCAAGGTCCCCCTCCCTGGCAGTCTTTAAGCAGTGGCCGGACAAACACTTGTCAGGGATGCTCTAGGCCAGTGGTGGCGAACCTATGGCACGGGTGCCAAGAGGTGGCACTCAGAGCCCTCTCTGCGGGCACGCGTGCCATCGCCCCAGCCAGGCCCCGACTATCATTAAAGTGTTGAATTCTCTGCCTAATAATTTTACGTAAATGAAAGCATTTGGGATCGCTTTCCTTACTTTGGATCGTCTTAAGTTAATGTATGAGTTGTTTTTTTCTAAAGTAAAACCTCCGTATTCAGGTTAAATTGCCGTGTTGGCACTTTGCGATCAATAAGTGGGTTTTGGGTCGCAGTTTGGGCACGCGGTCTCTAAAAGGTTCGCCATCACTGCTCTAAGCTGATCCTGCAATGAGCCGGGGGTTGGAGTAGACGGCCTGTAGGGCCCCTCCCAACTCTGGGATTCAAGGATTCCCCTCCCCTGACCCAGGTCTCCTAAAAGCTCCTGGCGGTCTGAGCAGGCCATCTCCACATCTCCATTCCCCCCCCCCCCACCCGTTTCCCACAGTCCTAAACGTGTGCACTGAACGTGTTCGGCTCTCACCAGGCTGGGGTCAATCGGGGGCAGTGCTGATTTCTTCTTTTAATTTGCAAGCAAATGTTTCAAGGGTAGATTTGAGTCCAGTCGCCCCTTAGAGACCAAAGAGATTTTCAGGCTACGCTTTCGAGATATCCGACGAAAGGAGCTTGGACTCTTGGAAAGTCTGTGTACTGAAAATCTTTTTGGTCTCTTAAGGTGCTGCTGGATTGGAATGTCGCTCTTCTACTGCAGACTTAAGATGGCTACCCTTTAAAGATATTTTTGGCATATCTAGGTATGCAGACACTGTGCCTGTGGTTGGGCCCCTTTCTCTTTCTTAATGCCTTTAGAAGAAATGGGGCCCTGCAAGGATTATAGAGCTGGATAGGTAGGGAATAAGAAGAGCCCTGCTGGATCAGACCAGTGAGGGTCCATCTAGTCCAGCACCCTGTCTCACACAGTGGCCAACCAGTTCCTCTGGAGGGCCAACAACAGGGCAGAGAGGCCGAGACCTTCCCCTGATAAGAACATCAAAAGGGCCCTGCTGGATCAGACCAGTGAGGGTCCATCTAGTCCAGCACCCTGTCTCACACAGTGGCCAACCAGTTCCTCTGGAGGGCCGACAACAGGGCATAGAGGCTGAAGCCTTCCCCTGATGTTGACTCCTAGCTCTGGGATTCAGGGGTTTAGTACCTCTGAATGTGGAGGTTCCCCTCAGTCACCGTGGCTACTAGTCATCAATATCCTCCATGATTCTATCTTATCCTCTTTTCAAAGCTGTTTATTCCTGTGGCCATCACTACATCCTCTGGCGGCGAATCCCACCTTTTAATCACTCTCTGCGTAAAGTTGTATTTCCTTTTGTCCGTCCTGAACCTACTGCCCATCAGCTATAAGCTACAAACTGTTTGGAATTCTCACACATATGCGGATGAGTATCAACCTCTCTGCCCCCTTACCTAGGTGGGCCGGGCTAGTCTGAGCTCATCAGATCTCAGAAGCTAAGCAGGGCTGGCCCAGATCTGTGCTTGGATGGGAGACCACCAAGGAAGTCCAGGGTTCCCCTGTGAGGCAGGCAATGGCCAACCACCTCTGTTCCATGGGGTTGCCAGGAGTTCGCTGTGACTTGTTGGCACTTGCCACCCCCATCAGGTAGAGCCCTGCGCCCTTGTCTGTGGGTTTGGCTAGGTTGCTTGCTTTCCTCAGTGACCTGAACTCCCCATACAGTCAATGAATCCCATTCCCTCTGAACTGTTGCCAACCTCCAGGTGGTGGCTGGAGATCTCCGGGGAGGAAACGGCCACTTCGGAAGGTGCACTACGACATTATAACCCATGGAAGTCCCTCCCCTCCCCAAACCCCACCTTCCTCAGGCTCCGCCTCCAAAATCTCCAGGCATTTCCCAACCCGGAGCTGGCAACCCTGCTCTGAACATGGATGTTGTGCTGCGTACTCATGTTTCTAGCCATCGACAGGCCTACGTCCCTCTACAAACACACACACACACACACACACACGGAAGAGCTTGCTGTATGACGGTCTTTATTCTACGTTTTGGGAGGGGTGCTGATATACAGAGCGAGGGAAGTCAGGGCAGGTCTCTCCAGCGCCTTTGACGTATGGAGAGAGGGGGGAAGACAGGGGCAGGCGATCCTCCAAGGAGTTACTCCTCATTCAGACCTTTCTGCAAAGGAACAGAGAGAGAGAGAGAGAAGGATGGAGTCAGTGAGCGAAAGCTGGAATGGGGGCAGTGTTCCCTCTAAGCTGAGTTAGTGTGAGCTAGTTCACAGTTCTCGAGCCTCCGGCTCACACATTTCTGTCTCCGCTCAGGAAGGAGGGCTCCAGAGCAAACTGATTTTTGCGGTAGCCAAATCTCTCGCGCGCCACTTTAATGCCGGTAGCTCACAAAGCGGAATTTTTGCTCACCGGACTCCACAGCTTAGAGGGAACGTCGAACGGGGGTCCCCCCCCCACCCTTCTTGAGGTTGTGGGGCTCCCTTGGGGTTTTGAGAGGGGGTGGTGAGCGCCACCCCCCAAAAAAAGGCTTCTACAGGAAAGGGAGCCCAACCCCAAACGGCTACCTCAGGAAGCAGAGCCGAACAGAAGACCCCCCCTCTTCTCACACCTCCTGAGAGGAAAGAAATCTCCTCAAGGAAGAACGGAACCACACACTGACTGAGGAAAGCCCAGTCGCTTACCAATCCTCCTCATCCTCCAGCGGGGAACTCTTTCATTTGAATAAGAGGTGCCAGTCACAAGCAGTGTTCCCTCTAAGCTGAGTTCGTGTGAGCTAGCTCACAGTTTTTTAGCCTCTGGCTCACAGATTTTTGTCTTAGCTCAGGAAGGAGGGCTTCAGAGCAAACTAATTCATGCAGCCGCCAAATCGCTCGCTCACAACTTTAATGCCAGGAGCTCACCAAGTAGAATTTTTTCTCACAGGACTCCACAGCTTAGAGGGAGCCTTGGTCACAAGTCCCACGGCCCCACCCCACTTTCTGAAATGCTCGGCAGGCATCGAGCGAAGTACTGACAGTCGTCATGGTGCCCCCCGGGCACTGCGCTGGGGAACCGGGGACAGAAAGGACCGGAGTGTGTCTGGGATGAAGGAGGAGGGGGGCCCCCCATCCTTTTCTCACCTTTGCCCCGATATCGCGGCTCTTGACCCTCAGCTTGTTGACCTGGGACTCAGCGATGTCGGCCCTCTCCTCGGCCTCGTCCAGCTCGTGCTGAACCTTCCGGAACTTGGCCAGGTTGGAGTTGGCCTGCTCCTCCTGGGGGGGGGGGAAGAGAACGGGAAGCAAAGGGGGTGGGGTATATTCAACCCAACTGGCTGTCTCTGTGGATGGGGCGAAAGGGTCCGGAGAGGTCCTTTGGGGCATGGAGGTAAACATGCAAGAGACCACCGTTGTCTTCCTAATTTTAGGTATGTGCAGGCCGATGAGGGAAATCCCAGGCGGATAAGATATTAACCGGGAAGTGCTTCCTAGGGCTGCTAAATAGGCCTGCCAACAGTTTGGGAAATTCCTGAGGATGGAGGGTTGGGTGGGGAGAGAACCCAGCAAGGCGCAAAGCCATAGAGTCCCTCCCTCTCAAACAGCCCTCTGTCTAAAGATCAGCTGTGACGCCCGGACATCTGCAGGCCCCACCTTGAAGTTGGCAACCCTATAGCCCAGAGGTGCTTATCTCCCCCTTGTTGGATACCACCTGAATAGCCTGGGATAGATGCTGAGGAGAGGCCCTTCTTGTATCTGAGGGCCAGGTTATTCTGTGTTGCCCGGGATGCAAGGGAGGTGGTGGTGGTGGGTGGGACATACAAAGAGTAGTAGTCAAAGTGCAGGACTTGAAGCACGGAAACCGGGACTTCGATTCAAAACCGTGGAAGTTCTTTGGGTCAGTCACTGTCTCTCAGTCTAGTTCACCTCACAGGATTGTTGTGAGGGGGGGGGAGTGTTCTGAACTCCTTGGAAAAGTGGGGTAGGAGAAGAAGGAGAAGAGGCTGGATTTATACCCCGCCCTTCACTACCTGAAGGAGTCTCAGGGCGGCTCACAATCTCCTTTCCCTTCCCCTCCCCACAACAGACACCCTGTCAGGGAGGTGGGGCTGAGAGAGCTCTCTCGAGGACTGCCCTTGAGAGAACAGCTCTGAGAGAACTTGTGACTGGCCCAAGGTCATACCAGCAGCTGCATGTGGAGGAGTGGGGGATCAAACCCGGTCCTCCCAGATTAGAGTCTGCACTCCTAACCACTACACCAGACAGGCTCTCCACACCAAACTTGGTATAAACGGATCATAGGGTTGGATCCAAACAGCTTTTCCATTCGTGAAAAAGGGAGAAAAGAACCCCTACAAAAGGCTGTATCGGGGTCCACAGCAGCCCCACAAGCATTTCTCCTTTGGGATGGGGAGGCGTGAGTTAGTAGAAGAATTGGGCAAGAGTGAACTGAAGAGCGAGCTGGATCCGACCCATAATTAAGGAGGGACCGTCTGGCCACTCACCGCCTCTTCTTCCGATCTTCCTCCGTCTATAACACCAGAGAAAGGGAATCAGGTTCTCAGTCTGGTTGAGCTAAAACACCGACTCGCAGAGTCCCATTTCTTTTTCGCCGCTGTAGATCCCAGACCCCTGGCCAGGGCTGACGGCTCCAGCTTAGGAAATTCCAAGAGATTTGGGGGCACAGCCTGGGAAGGCTGGAATTGGGGCAGGGAGGGAGCTCAGCGGGAATGTAGCGCCCCAGAGCCCACCCTCCAAAGCTTCCATTTCCTACAAGGGCAAGGAACTCTGTCATCTCCCAGTGTCCGCCCTCCAAAGTTCCATTTCCTCCAAGGGCAAGGAATTCTGTCATCTGGAGATCAGCCGTGATACTGGGAGATCTCTCGGCCCTAGAGATCTAGTCTCTTTTGACATTGTATTATTCTATGGGTATTTAGCACACATCCAGGGGACATTTCCTGCAGGCGCGCACAGGAACGGAGCTCCGGCAGTAAAGAGCCCAGGGGGCGGGCACATGCAACAAGCCCCACCCCCTGCTCCCAGCAGCCCTCAGGCAGGGCAAGAAGCAGCCAGGTAGGTTGCAGAGCCCCCCTGGCTCCCCGGCCCAAAACAGTCCAGTGGCACCTTTGAGACCAAGTTTTATTCAGGTACAAGCTCTCCCTCCTCTGCGAGGACAGATCTGCACGTTTCCCCCCACCCCCAATAGCTAGGAATCCAAAACAGTCCAGTGGAGCCTGAGCGGTGGGTGCTGCCTTCTGACACACTTCCGGTGATGTCAGGGGGTATGGCGTATGCTAATGAGTTATGCTAATGAGCTCCTGCACCTCTTTTTCTACGAAATGACCCCTGCACACATCTGTATATATTTTTTCATGCCAGATTGCCTGCCTGGAGGTTGGCAACCCAACCTCTGCCCTCCAAAGCTGGAGCTGTTGTAAATTATGCAAACGGAGGAGAAGACCGTTGGAGTTGTTGAAGAGGTTTTAAAGGACACCGATGACATCCAGAAATCAAGCGGAATAATGTTATAATGTTAGTGGAAACCCCGCTTTTCTAATCTGGAAGAGGGCCAGGGGGGCAGGGGTGGGGAGAAGAACGCCACGCCGAGCTTGTATTTTCTAGCACATTTCTTTGTCGCATTTGCTTTGAACACAGTTCATAAAGACTGTAAACCAGACGTCTGTTTTCTGCAGCCTTTGATTTATGATCATGTATCTAATAATCAAGACCTGAGTGCGCCGCATGACAGAGTGAGCTCCCGTCTCTAGTTCCAGCTCCTGCCAACCTAGCAGTTTGAAAGCAAGAAATTGCAAGTAGATAAATAGGTACCGCTTCGGTGGGAAGGAACGTCTGTTTTCTGCAGCCTTTGATTTATGATCATGTATCTAATAATCAAGACCTGAGTGCGCCGCATGACAGAGTGAGCTCCCGTCTCTAGTTCCAGCTCCTGCCAACCTAGCAGTTTGAAAGCAAGAAATTGCAAGTAGATAAATAGGTACCGCTTCGGAACAGCACCGGCTCTTCGGCTTTGAAACGGAGATGAGCACCGCAACCCTAGAGTCGGACTCGACTGGCTTTCGAGCAAGGGAACCTTTACCTTTTTATCTAATATCCAGGGATGGCCTCCCCACCCCCTCACCCCGATCAGATAAAAAGGAAATTTTCAAGAGGGGGCTGCATCG